GTAAGTATTCTATGTTTGCCTCTGGCTGCCTTTGCAACCACCAGCTAGAGAAAGTGTTTTGCTGGGATCCCAATGGCAGTAGCCTGCTCAAGGTTGGAATGTAATACATTCTTCAATCTAGCTTCTCTCTGGAAATATTTTATTATAATGTCCATTTTTAAAATATGTTTTTTTACTTGTTGATGGACCTTTATTTATTTATATGTGGTGCTAATTGAACCCAGTGCCTCACCTACATGAGGCAAGTGCTCTACCACTGAACTACAACCCTATCCTGTTATGTTCTTTATAATTGAGAAATCCTGAGATTTCCATGTTTTCTTTCCTTTAATTCATTATGTTAATAAATACAAGTTCCTCTTCTCCATGTTTTCTCATTTAATAAGACAAATGGTTAGAAAAGTAAAAACACATGACTCATTTTTGTAACTGCATAATAAACAGGTAACGTAACTCTTTTAGTTAAATGTCCACTACATAAATTTTGATCCAAAGAGTGCTAAATACTTTGCACACTTTACATGTTTTTGTTTGTTTTAACCCCAAGAGATCTGAAAAAAATTAACAGAAATAGTGCAGTATTCATTGTACTTCAAGGAGATAATTTTTTTTCTTATTGAAACATGAATCACATTTATACGTATATTGGGTTGGGTTCAGCCAGGGTAGAAACGGAGTTTGCTGAACTAGAATCTGGTATAAGGAATCTAAGACACAGTTTCTCTGTGGACTGAGATAAAGTTGGATAACAATGACCACAATGTTATGGTTTGATATGTGGTGTCCCACAAAAGCTCATGTGGAGACAGTGCAAGAACACCTAGAGGAGAAATTATTGGGTTATGAGAGTCTTGACTTACTCAGTGTTTTAATTGCCCTGTGAGGAATTAACTGAGTTTAACCATAGGCAGGTAGGATGTGGCTGGAGGAAGTAGTCACTGGAGCTGTGCATTTGGAGCATATATTTTGTCTGTGATGAGCAGAACCTTCTCTCTGCTTCCTGGCTGTCATGTCCTGAGCTGCTTTCTCCAGCCATACCTGTCTGCCATGATGTTCTGCCTCACCTAAGGCCCAGAGCTATGGATTTTGCTAACCATAGACAGAACCTCTGAAACCAT